AGAGATGGGAAGTAACGAAGTGCAACTACTTCGTTACTGTACTCAAGTAGATTTTTCTGATATTTTTACTTTACTACTTATTTTTATGGCGACTTTTTACTTCTACTCCTTACATTTTTACACAAATATCTGTACTTTCTACTCCTTACATTTAAAAAAATTGTCTCGTTACTTTAGTTTTGAATCATTTCAATGGAGTTACCATTATTATTTTTCACGTCATCAATACCAAATTCAATCTAATTGGATGGGAATCTACGTTGCATTTGACGCACCACTACAAGATAATTCGACAGATTCGGCGGTATTCATTGGCGGCAAATCATTGCAGCTTGGTGGCGGTGGCGTTAGCATAGTAGCATGGACGACGAGATGATTGAAAATGAACACAACAGAGATCTAGTCCTATTGGCAGACATCCATTTAAAATGTAGGCAACGGCATGAAAAAAGTGGTTTCTACTTTTACTTTTATACTTTAAGTAAATTTACAAGCCTGTACTTTGTTACTTTTACTTGAGTAAAGAAGTTTAATCAGTACTTCCACTTTTACCAGAGTATTTTTTAACACAAGTATCTGTACTTTTACTCAAGTACGGAAAGTGAGTACTTTTGCCATCTCTGCTATTGAGCAATGCCAGACCGAACTTCCCGACCTTAAACCTTATGGGCGGGACTAAGTTCGGAATGGCACCCAGGCTAGTACAGTATGGCTAAGTGCTGAAGAAATAGTGGATTTATTTTATCTCTATGCTGTAAAAATCTGTCATTATTGGTACAAGAAAGTCAATCATAATTATTTATGTTTCATTAGGTGCTTTAGTAAGGGAATTAAAAATGATGTATATAAAAACACAATTTAGGTATAACATTATGAAATATTTGCTTTAAAAAAGCAAAGACTTTGATGATGAGTATTACAAATAATGGTAAATTATATCAGCTGTGAGTGTTTAACATCATGTTGTTTTCATGGGAATGTGGACCTTTCAGATTAATTGGAATGCTGGTCCTGGACTCGACTCCCTTGGTTGTGGTCTAGACCTGGTCTTGGTGCTATGCTAACATAGCACCAAGACCAGATTTGGTGCTATGTTAGCATCATTAGTGCTATGCTAACAGTGCAGGAAGTAAAGAAGGTAAGGAGGCAGGAAGCTTTCTAGCACAAATACAGTTACATAGGGACCTTCTGATATTCCTAACCGCTACTAGGAGCTACAAAGTTACCCACAATCCTTTGCATCACAAAACATACAAGCACAGTTTAACAAAAACACATAAATCATCAGATCTGTACTGAATGTCTTTAGCACAGGGGCCAGGATGAGTTCTACAGGAGCACCGGTCTCTGTTGGCCCCTGTCCTGCAGAGATCCAGACAAGGACGCATAGATGTCCTCGTTGGACAAAACCGGATTTGCTGCCAAAGTTGAATCAAGCACAGTATATGAAAAAATTCTGTTTTATGTTTACAGCAATCTATGGACGAAACAATCTTTTTTTTCCCTGCATTGTCATAAGGTGGTATTACATGTAGAATTTCAAAGAAAGAGGATTAATTTGGTACCATTCAGAATAAGGCTGTAGTATAGCTCTGTAAGTACTGTCAGGATGCAATGAAAGCAGTGATTTCACGTACATCTGCCCCGTTTTTATTGACAAAGACGTTCTGGTTGATATAAAAAAGATAAACAATGAGGGTAACCATGGCGAAACACAGGAAGAAAGAAGAAAATAATTGAACACAGTTTTCAATGTAAGATTGGAGTCAAAATATGAATGCCGTATATTTCATTACTTGGTGTTTGAAGTTCTGAGGTAATGTCTCGTTGTGTAGCAATGTGTCAGCGGCCCACGCCATGTTTAACTGTTATTAACTCCTGACAAAGGCTACCAGCCACTAGCTTCCAATATAGAGACCCACTGTAGCTACACTACACTCTAAGCCTACATTCAACATGTGACAACAATCAAATTGGAAGCAATTGTCTGGATGTTTGAGGCTGAAAAGCAGCTTACTGAGAGCCAGCTTACTTCTGTAGTATTATCCTAGATCTAGTTTAAGTAGAGACCTGGTGAAAAAAAAACAACAGAAAAAATCATTAATCTTTGTTCCTTGCTGTATCATGGAAACGGAAACAAAAACCAACCAGATATGGAAATATATTAGCAGGCGAGGACATAATGGTGCCCAATCACTGAAACTCTTAAATGCTACTCTTTATTCTTTACATGTAATTAGGGAAATAATCCATCTATTTTGTCTTTTTTAACAGATTACCACAGCTTAGTAAATGTTCAAAACAGCTTTATGGTGATGCATCCGTAGATTTAATCATGAAAACATAAATACAATCAAGATATTAAACTTAAAAAAAAAAACGTTTAATGAAATTTGGCACTTTCTCATATTTCATTTAATCATTTAAGTATTTCTAAAAAAACAAATTTTCACATTTTTTTTAGCTATTTTATATTTTTTATTCTTTTTTCCCCCTCTTTTTTATATGGAGTTTACAAATTTCAGTCTTCAAACTGTGTTTTATTCGTTTCTGGGGGCGTTCTGTCCTCTGTAATGAGAAGCAAAGACGCGTTTCTATGGGTCTCCGTACACTTAGCCAGGGGGCGCCGTATTGGACGGAAAACTTAGGAGGATTCTAAGGGCCCTTGGTTTAGGTGGGGCCCAAAAGAAGAAGAAAAGATATGTCGCAATAGATACTTTAAATATTAAAAGAAAATCCAGCAGTAAAAAAAAAAATCTTTTATCGATCAGTTTATGCAGTTTAAATTTAATGTATCTTTAAGTTTTTCATGTTCAGATAATTTGCCTTTGTAGAAATTTTTAAATAAAATTCCCATTTAAAAAGTAAATGTTATTGATAGCAGTTTTGCAGTTTTAAAGCTTGCATATTTTTATTGTGTGTGTGTGTGTGTGTGTGTGTAGGTGGGGTGGTGGGGGAGTATCAATGGGGCTCCAAATTCCTGGCAGCGCCCCTGCACTTAGCTACATTCTATCAATGGGCAAGTGTTTGTATTAGGGTTGAAATGAATGAAATGTGATCTACAAAATGCAATCCTTTTTTTTTTAAACGGTGTCCTGTCTGGCGATGTGACCCAAAAAAAAAAGAGCCCAAAAGTTTGTGCCTTCCCAAGTGGAGCAGTACAGCTATTGCCATAGTGTTCTGCTTGATTTATGCATATAAATAGCTTTATTATAATTTACGTATGCAGGGAGTAATACTGATTTTATGGACACTGTAATGGGAAAGTAGAACAGGAAAGGAAAAACAGGGAAAAAGATAAAAGATAAAAGAAAGAGGAGATAAAAGGGAGAAAATTATAAAATGACAATGATAAAGGGTTGCAAAATGCAATCTGAAAAGAGTACAAGTCGTAAAACTATGGAACAGTTTTTCTCAGAATTCCGACTTTTTTTCTCAGAATTCAGACTCTAATCTCAGGATGTTGGATTTTAATGTCAGCTTCAGTGACAAATATGTGAGTTTTTTTGGGCAGGACAATAACAAGTTGGTGGAAAATGACGAAATTAGGTGACTTTTTACGTGCCTGAAGGGTCCCCGGTGATGCTATTTCATTAATGGAAGAGCAGGAGGTCATTAAAACAAGAGAGCTAGTCTATAAAACAGACACACCTTCTGAGATTAAATTCACAATTCTGAGAAAAAGGTCGGAATTCTTAGACGGAAGTCAGAATTCTGAGAAAAAGGTCGGAATTCTTAGACTGAAGTCAGAATTCTGATAAAAAGGTCGGAATTCTTAGACTGAAGTCAGAATTCTGAGAAAAAGGTCGGAATTCTTAGACGGAAGTCAGAATTCTGAGAAAAAGGTCGGAATTCTTAGACTGAAGTCAGAATTCTGAGAAAAAGGTCGGAATTCTTAGACTGAAGTCAGAATTCTGAGAAAAAGGTTGGAATTCTTAGACTGAAGTCAGAATTCTGAGAAAAAGGTCGGAATTCTTAGACTGAAGTCAGAATTCTGAGAAAAAGGTTGGAATTCTTAGACTGAAGTCAGAATTCTGAGAAAAAGGTCGGAATTCTTAGACTGAAGTCAGACTTCTGAGAAAAAGGCCAGAATTCTTAGACTGAAGTCAGACTTCTGAGAAAAAAGGTCGGAATTCTTAGACTGAAGTCAGAATTCTGAGAAAAAGGTCGGAATTCTGAGAAAAATGTCAGAATTCTGACAAAAAGGTCGGAATTCTTAGATTAAAGTCAGAATTCTGAGATTAAACTCAGAATTCTGACTTTTTTTGGTCATATTATACTGAAATAAAATTTAAAAATCAGTTAATCTATTTTATTTTTTTTAGTAGCCATAATCCTCCTCCGTATAAAACTCAAAACTGAAAAATAGAAATTAAAAAATGAAATAAAAAAGTGTACAAAATTGTAAAATAAAAGGATAAAAAACTACAAAATGTGACAAAACAGGAAAAAAAATGAAGTTTAGATTAGATTAGCTTCTCACAGCGGAAAAATTCACTTGTCACATATTGGCATAGCAATTAAAGATGGCACAAACAAGGAGGAAAAAGGTGCATTAAGAATAAACAATATATTTAGTAGTATATCAAGGTATATACAGTATTGCTTGAGAAGTTGTGTTATGTTTCTAAGTTTTTAAATGAGTGTTCTGTTGCTGGATGTGAACGCTGCTGTGATGGTGTGTGTGTGTGCTTCATCAGCTGCTCCACAGCTCCAGCTGTTTTATGCTCTCGCAGGTTACTACGGGCCTCCTGATTGGCTGCTTTCAACCAACACAGCAGAGTGGCTCTAAGGAATGTCATGGACCGCACCATTTCAGACCAACCGGGGGGGATGCTTTCTTAACACAACTAATAAAAGTTATCCTTTTAGCGATCCGAATATCAAAACATGACTGAAGAGGTTACAATATAACTTTAACTTGTTTAAATTTAACCAATTAATCCGTTAAAGTTATGTTAGATCCGATGTTATAATAAATTGTTGAATGAGTGACACCCGCCGGATCAAGTTCACGGTTTGGTTCAAGATGGCCGCTGAGAAACAGTTATGAGGATCGCAGTTTTTTCCAAAAATTCAGGGGAAATGAGCGGCTCTGCGCTTTGAAGACGCTCCCTCTCGGTGACCGGGGACCCAGGTGAGACACATCTACAGTCCCTACCATGTTTTCACCCGCTGAGCGGCTCATAGAGCGGAGAAAACCAGAGCAAGCGCTGCTCGGTTTGCAGGCTGTTAGACGACAGCCTGTAGGAAGCCTTCAGGAATATTCTCTGTGTTTGCTTCGTATTTTAAGCAAAAAGGACCGACCGAAACCCGCAGCAGCTCGCTTAGCGCGGATGTTTTTGTAGCAGATCACATTAGCAACAACAGATGAGTAGAGAAGCTGTAAGTTAGCTGAGGAACGGGAGGTGTAGCTGATGGAAAGCAGGCCTGAGGATAACTGACCCTGCAGCTGAGCAGCGCAGGTAAACATCCTGCTGCTCAGACACAGCTGATTATTAGCAGCCTTTGCTTTGACTCCTGTCTGTCAGCCGCTGAATGTGGGAGGGGCTTCTACTGACGTCACTTTTCACTCTGCTGCAGCCATCTGTACAACTACGGAAGAGGATTAGGGCAACTGGAAAAAAAGAAAAAAGTTAACTGCTTTATACATTTTATTTCAGTATAATATGAGACAATTCTGACTCACTACAATTATACTGACTCATATACAATTCTGACTTTAAACTCAGAATTCTGACTTTAATCTTAGAATTCTGACTTTAATCTCCAAATTTTGACTTTAATCTCAGAATTCTGACTTTAATCTTAGAATTCTGACTTTAATCTCCGAATTTTGACTTTAATCTCAGAATTCTGACTTTAATCTTAGAATTCTGACTTTAATCTCAGAATTCTGACTTTAATCTTAGAATTCTGACTTTAATCCAATAATTTAGACTTTTTTCCCTCAGAATTCTGACTTTAATCTCAGAATTCTGACTTTAATCTTAGAATTCTGACTTTAATCCAATAATTTAGACTTTTTTCCCTCAGAATTCTGACTTTAATCTCAGAATTTCAATATAATATGAAACAATTCTGACTCATTACAATTATACTGACTCATATACAATTCTGACTTAAATCTCCGGATTCTGACTTTAATCTTAGAATTCTGACTTTAATCTCCAAATTTTGACTTTAATCTCAGAATTCTGACTTTAATCTTAGAATTCTGACTTTAATCTCCGAATTTTGACTTTAATCTCAGAATTCTGACTTTAATCTCAGAATTCTGACTTTAATCTTAGAATTCTGACTTTAATCCAATAATTTAGACTTTTTTCCCTCAGAATTCTGACTTTAATCTCAGAATTCTGACTTTAATCTTAGAATTCTGAACATTTTAAACACTAATGTAGAACAAATCTCAGTCACTAGATAAACATACATATCCTAAAAATACACAGCTTTAACTGTGATGAAACTAGAGCTGCAACTAATGATTAAATTTACTAATCTGTTGATAGTTCTTATGATTAATCGATTAATAATTGGATAGCAAAAGGTTCCTTAAAGAAGATGTTTTACTAAATTAAACTAGGTGAAACCAAAACTTTTCCACTTGAAGAGTTCCATATTCAGCATACTGACAGTGCAAAATGTTTACATATTTTTTTAAACAATTTTAATATAATTGCTGCTCAAGTTGAGTCACTCTTTTATTTAAAGTTATGTTTTAAAGTCTCTACTCTTCAGTTAATGATTAATCGAATACTAAATTAGTTGACGATTATTTCAATAATCAATCACCATTAATCAAATTAATTATTTCACCCCAAGATGAAAGGTTTGTTTTCTAAAGTTTGACTCATCAAGATTCCTCAGGATTTCCTGTTCTTGAGTTGCTCTCCTCTTTGTCTTTGGCTGCAGCATAAAGTCGATCTTTGGCCGATCTCAGAAACACCGTCTCCACAGCAGGCAGCTTCCATGTTGCTCTTGTCCTTAAAGGAAAAACGTGTCTACAGCAGCTAAAGTAATCAGAAATTTTGGAAGATAACCTGAATCACTTGGACAAAGTGAAACCTGAAAAGCCAATTTAGCCCTTTTTTTTGTTTAAGCTTCATATGAATTTAAGTGATGTGCTGCCCAAAGAATTCAAGAGCGACTGAGCGAGGAACAAGGAAAATGCATCTCCAGCTTGAATAATAAATGTGGAACATATTGTGGATGGAAACAGGAGGATGTGGTTCTATAATAGTCGGCTGAAGGTTTCTTTCTCTGCTGAATTGTGGGTCTTACCGCGCTCGTTTCTAAGAAAAGTTAATAAAAGATACATGTGGAGCCTAATGATGGACTTTTACAGGAGCTGAACGCTCTGAGTAGCCAAGGTGTGTTATTATATTATCCTGCCGAGCTGCAGCATCGTTCCTCTTGCTAAGCATTCGTATGAGGTTTATGATGCAGCATTGAAGAGGGCAGAATTACTCTGTTTATAAGTTGCAGATAAAATAAAGTGTTATAGTTTCTAAATGAGATGAAGAGACCTCCCTCACCTCCCAAACTGCTCACTGATTGGCTGCAGAGCAGGAACCGTGACCTCGGACCTGCTAACGACGGATTCCACCCGTCAGTTTCGGGGAACTCTGAGTGTTTCCCTGTAAAGCACCAGCTGAGCGATTAAAGCCTTTAAAAATGGAAGTTGTTTTTTCTCTTTCGGGCCTGCTCCTGTTGTAGGACCTCGCATTCGGGGGCTTTCTGGGGTTTATTTTGGAACAGGAACTTTGCAGCTTTTCTGTTTGCTTGCAGCAGTCAGTGGAACTTGTTTCCTTTTTCGATCTTCAGTGTTGCTCTGGGTCTGTCCCAATAAGTCCTTGCAACTCTTTTAAAGTGAAAAGTATTAACGGTCTGTATCAGCAGCTAAAGCTTCCTTGCTTACTTAGAACAGAAGGGATGTTGATTAAAGAAATCAGAAAAAAAGCTTTACTGCCAAGTGGTGTTTCACACATACCAGGGATTTGTTTTAATGATCTGTACAAACAAACACACAGTGACATTAATTAGTTTAAAAATACACCGTACATAAATAACTGCAATTTTGTCAAGAAATTGACAATAGAAAATAGAAAAAAATAGTATAACTTTAAGCATCAAGAGCACCCTGAGATCAGTCTCGGTCTCTTCTTGTATCGGCGACTGTTACGCCCACCAAGGACACAACATATTTGAGGACACGAGACAAAAATGAGGGTTCAAAAAAAGATATTTTATTACTAAATTCTCTCCGTTTTAGTTGTTCTTGATTCGGCTTCTTCAGATGTTCTGCGAAGAGAAAAATTGTTAACGGCCCTCAAATCCCGTGCCCCAAAAAAATAAAAAAAGAAACCCAAAGTAACAACAGAAAGTTGGAACTGGCAGGCCGATCAAACAGAATAAAACGGTACAGCAGGGGGCCAACCCTATACAGGGCCGTCGAAGCCCCTACTGGTACCGGACTAAAGGCAAAAAATAACCTAAGCGAAAGAAAAATCGAAAACAGGACTACCGGTCCCGCCAGGCCAAAACCTCAAGAAAAAAGTAAGAAAAAGTTAACAAAAATACCACATGGCAGGCTGGAACGTCCGCTGCAGGCCGCAGCGACAAGACAAGTGCGCACCGCGCACGGTGGAGCAAATGAAGCAGGTGGGAAGTGGCGTCCAAACGAGGTTGGAAAGGAACGCGCAAGGAACGCGCTAACGTGCTGAAGGCCAGCCTATTTATAGGCGGACGACAGCACCACAAATTAACATAATTGATTTACTAAAAGAATCCTAAAATATATTAACAAAAGGATCCTTCAACTAAAGTTTATAAGCAAACGAAGAAAAGAAATGGACAAAAATCATAATGTGCCTGGGGCACATAACACCCCCACCCAAAGACTCTGAATGGGGTCCGAAGCAAAGCTCAACCCATTCAGAGAAAAAAAAAAGGAAAGCGGGACTACAGTCGTGAGTGTGTGTCGGCCACTACATTGTCTTATCTTCACATAATAAAAACACGTTAAAAGGAAAGCGGGACTAGAGTCAGGAGAGTGCGTCTGCCACTACGTTGTCCCCTCTTCCTACAATAAAAACGCGTCACATAGCTTTCACATCCAAGACATGATCTAATGCGCTCTCAATGCCACCGAGCGCGCAAACACAGCCGATCCACCAACTCCAGTCTGCGTTCTTCCAAAAACAGCTCCTTTTCCATCAAAGCCAGCTGTCCTAATTCGATCTGAAGTTCCTCTAAACGACACGGATCAGCTGCAAGTGAGGTTTTATTCGGCGATTCATCAAGACTCTGTGCTAAAACTGCAGCAGGAAAAATATCCTTCGTGCACTCACTAAAGACATCTAATGTGGCTCCTCGAGCACTCATCCAGGTCAGACTCCATGTCCACCCCTGGAATCTAGCCACACTAAACAGGAACACTCCATCCAATGTAGGCTCTCGAGCAAACTCATCCAGGTCAGACTCCATGTCCACCCCTGGAATCTAGCCACACTAAACAGGAACACTCCATCCAATGTAGGCTCTCGAGCAAACTCATCCAGGTCAGACTCCATGTCCACCCCTGGAATCTAGCCACACAAACTGTCAAGCACACATACAAAGCCACAAAAAACACCAGAGCCAAATCGTCCAATCCACAATAACCTCAATATGCTCGGCTTCCCGTGCATCTGCAGCTGCCCCGACACCTGCGTCATCTCGTTCACTGGAAACACAACTGATAGTTATGCAGAGCGGGCGCACGTTCAGCAACAGATCCTTTGTGCATTTATGCAAAGTGTCCAATGTGGGCCCTCGAACAAACTCATCCAGGTCAAACTCCATGTCTACCCCTGGAATCAAGCCACACCAAATCAGGAACACCTCTGCACAAATGAAAGCTACAGCACCACCAGAACCGAATGCTCTAATTAATCAGCGCAACGCGCGTCAGCTGCGCAAAAACACACACAAACCCAGCACAACCGCCAACAAACAAGAACCAACCGTAGGACACGACCTGTCTCTAAAAGGCAAACTTTGTTTTGACAAGCCCCCAAAAATATGTTACGTCCACCAAGGACACAACATATTTGAGGACACGAGACAAAAATGAGGGTTCAAAAAAAGATATTT